ACCTTCCACACTTTTCTATTGATTGACTTGATATGTGTGGTCATCTTTGATTTCCAATACGGATAATTTGTGCCATCAAATTGGGGTAGCTTCTTGGTGTTGTTGATTTGAGCCATTTTTACACCAAAGGTTGTTAAGCCTCAAATCACGGTGACCTGGGCTCCGATACCACTTGAAAGGTCCTAATGGCTAGAGGGGGGGTGAATAGCCTATTAAAATTTTCTACAACAACACTTAACAAACCGGTTAGACAATTATGAGGCAAAGCAAGTGTTGCGCTAGCCTACTAAAATAGCAAGCCACCTACCATAATTCTAGTTTATATAGTTTCTATCCACACAATAGCTATGATGCTACACTAAGTTAGTGTGCTCTCAAAAGCTAACTAAAGAGCCATACTACCAAACTAACAAGCTCTCACAACTAGCTACACTAAAGAGTTTGACAACTAGTTTGCGGTAATGTAAAGAGAGTGAGCAAGAAGATTATACCGCCGTGTCGAGGAAGGAGCCAATCAATCACAAGAATGAATAACAATGAAGACCAATCACCTCGGAATCAAATAATGACACAATGATTTTTTACCGAGGTTCACTTGCTTGCCGACAAGCTAGTCCTCATTGTGGCGATTCACTCACTTGGAGGTTCACGCGCTAATTGGCATCACATGCCAAACCCTCAATAGGGTATCGCACAACCAACACAAGATGAGGATCACACAAGCCATGAGCAATCCACTAGAGTACCTTTTGGCTCTCCGCCGGAGAAAGGTCAAGAACCCCTCACAATCACCACGATCGGAGCCGGAGACAATCACCAACCTCCGCTCGACGATCCTCGCTGCTCCAAGCCGTCTAGGTGGCGGCAACCACCAAGAGTAACAAAGTGAATCACATAGCGAAACACGAACACCAAGTGCCTCTAGATGCAAACACTCAAGCAATGCACTTGGATTCACTCCCAATCTCACAAAGATGATGAATCAATGATGGAGATGAGTGGGGGGCTTTGGCTAAGCTCACAAGGTTGCTATGTCAATACAAATGGCCAAGAGGCTGAGCTTGAGCCAAGAATGGGGCTTAAATAGAAGCCCCTATGAAATAGAGCCGTTATACCCCTTCACTGGGCACGACACGGGGTGACCGGACGCTCCGGTCATATTGACCGGACGCTAGACCTTAGCGTCCGGTCACGCGATGCGTGCCATATGTCCCCTCTCTTCAAATGTTGATCGCCCGATCTCAACGGTCAAGTGACGACCAGACGCAGCAGCTCAAAGTGACCGGACGCTGAACCCCAGCGTCCGGTCGATTCCAGTAAGCATCCAGAGACGACTTTTCACGACTAGACACATCCGGTCATGCTCGACCGGACACATGCAGCGTCCAGTCACACAGCGACTCCCTTATGTGCTGCCACGTCAGCTGGACCGGACGCAACCCTCCAGCGTCCGGTCACTAAGTGACCCAGCGTCCGGTCAGAGACCGACGCCAGCGTCTTCACTGCTTCTTCTGACCGGACGCGCCGGTCCTATGGAGACCAGCGTCCGGTCACTTACAGTGACCTCCGTCTTTTCTGTATGGGGCACCGGTGGCACCGTCAGACTGTCCACACTCTACGGGCGGACACTCCGCCGGTGAAGTTTCCTAACCCTTGCTCCAATGTGCCAACCACCAAGTGTATCACCTTGTGCACATGTGTTAGCATATTTTCACAAACATTTTCAAGGGTGTTAGCACTCCACTAGATCCTAAATGCATATGCAATGAGTCAGAGCATCTAGTGGCACTTTGATAACCGTATTTCTATACGAGTTTCACCCCTCTTAATAGTACGGCTATCAATCCTAAATGTGATCACACTCACTAAGTGTCTCGATCACCAAAACAAAATGGCTCCTATCATTTATACCTTTGCCTTGAGCCTTTTGTTTTTCTCTTTCTTCTTTTCAAGTCCAAGCACTTGATCATCATCATGGCATCACCATCATCATGTCATGATCTTCATTTGCTTCACCACTTGGAGTGTGCTACCTATATCATGATCACTTGATAAACTAGGTTAGCATTTAGGGTTTCATCAATTCACCAAAACCAAACTAGAGCTTTCAGAGGTATGGTTGTGGTCGTAAGAGCACTTAAGAAATAATATGTAGTTGCAGGCATGTCTTCTAGAACATACGGCATCCAGTTTCCATTGACAATTTTTTTACTTGACATTATAAATATTTGGATGTATACTAGCTGATGAGGCCTTTCTTTTGGCATTGTTTAGTTTGGCTCTATTCATGTTTGAACAGTATAATTTCATATATGCACCCTGTTCGCTTGAACTACTTTTCAGCCAATGAACAGCGTTTTCCTCTTACAACAAATCAGCATAAGCGAACAGAGTGATGATTGTTACTTCTACTTTTGTGGGTCAGGTAATGAAGTTTGAAGATCTGAAAGAACTGGGCAGTGAATCTGCTGTTAAGGTATACACTCCTTCCCCAAGGACATTCTTGTTAAGTGCCTGTTTTGAGTTTCGACTTGATGTTTCGAATGTGCGTACTGTAGGCATAATCTATCTTGATGAGGTACTTGTTCTTTTCAGTGCAGCATAATCTATCCTTTTGTTATGTGTTGCTAAAAAGTAATACAAAGTTGCCTATCTTTTATTGTTGTATTCTTCATGTGCTTTTCATTGAACTTTAGTAATTTCATTGAACTTTAGTAATTTCTTTTGCTCTTTTGAATATTTTTGAAAAGTTGTGCAAATAGTTGAAGTTGAAAGATCATTTCTATGTGCACTTGTCCAGTAGGAGAATGTGATTTGAATTAGCTGGTTCAGCAACAAATGTGAATTTTTTGTTCAGGTAAAGTGTTGGCAGATCAGACGTCAGACTAAAGCTCCTCAAGCTGCTGGTGCAATTCACACTAATTTCAAAAGGGGCTTCATATGCGCTGAGGTAACCCTCTGCTATTTTAAGTAGCTGATATAGTTGTTAACTATTGTGATTTGCATCAGCTATAAGTTAAACGAGACCAAATTTTGGATAGCTGTTCTACTCAGACTATTTTGGTTGTTTGTGAATCTAGATGCTTTTAAAGTTACTCAATTGGACTTCTTTGTAATTTTGTCAATGATATACATTGTGTATCAGCTTTTAGTTTTATTGAAATAAATTTTAGAGGAATGTTTTGCTTCAGTTGACATACAGTTCACATTTTGCAGCATTGCATCTTAGATGGGTAAGGGGAAGATTGCTGCACAGTGCAGGTGAGACCTTCTTTGCTTCAATATTTTGTTAGTTTGCTTCTCACTTCAGTCGCAAATTGATTCTTTGCAACTGTGAGAGCTTTAATAGTACATTTGTAGCATTGGTCTGCACTTAAGCATTTTATTTAACGACCTCTACAGGAAGTGAAGGGAAGAGGATTCCTGCTGGTTTCAACATACATAGAAAGCAAAGGGTTTGCTGCTCTCGATTGTCTATCTAGATCACAGTAGTGTGAATGTGCAGCAAGCAAAACTTAAATTAGTTTCTATATGCATGCACATTAAGCTATTAGTATCTAAAAAATTCGGTGTTATATGCCTAATATTGGATGTATGGATAAGATCCTGGCACTGGAATTTTTTTTTTTTTTTGCTTTTTAATTCACTATTACAGACGCGTGTGGACTATGCACGTCTGCGATAAAGGCTCATCACAGACACGTTTTAACTATACGCGTCTGTGGTAGGGTTACTACAAACGCATCTTTCCTTCACCAGTACCGTCTGTGGTAGGGTTACTACATACGCTTGTTGGTAATACGCGTCTGCAGCATGAGCTTATTACAAACACGCTTTTGTCGCGTCTGTAATAAGACCTTATTGCAGACGCGTTATGGCAGACGCGCCGAAACGCGTCTGTAATGTCTCTAAACGTGCGTCTGAAATGACGTTTTTTTACATAGTGCTATCTGCTGCTGCTGCTGTTCTTGTAGTTGTAGTTTTATCATCTCGAAAACGAGCTGTGGCTCTATATGAACAAGGATAGAGTTGTTTATTTGCTCCTAACTACTAGTAAGTAAATAAAGTAACCATACATGGTACAGCTAGGTACTTTCATACTTTATTATAGGAATGGCATCAGGTATTATGACTGTTTCATTGGAAACGATCCATCTGTGGTGTGCCCGAACCATGGATGATGGATGCTGTCAGAGGCGTCAATACCATGTAATAAACTGGATACAAGATATATGAATTGTTTGTGTAATTTGAGGCCTAGAGGAGAGAAAAAATGCCACCATTATCTGTGAGCTTGCAGCAGCAGTGAGTGATATCTTAACAGCTCATATAAAGAGATGCTAAGAAGTGTTAGGTCGAAAGTCCTGACAGCAAGCATTTTTTTTGTTGGATGGCAGAGACATTGCGCTGTCAAAAAGTAATGCAAAAAATTGGACATGCGCAACAAATAATGCAAAAAGTTGGACATTGGGTTTGTGTAGTCAACCAGATCAAAATTCCACCAAACAACACATGTTTCTCTCTGGCAGCATGGGTTGCTTGTGTGGCAGCGTGATGAAGATGCCATCGCCTTAGGCGTCATCTCTCTGATGAGACCGTAGATGAACTCACACTAGTAGGGTGTTAAATTTGGGAAAAAAAATAGTAAACTAATCTATGGATGATTATAGAGGCTAATAACTAAATTAGGCGGTGCCCTAGGGAGAATTCGGAGATTGATCTCCCTTGGCAATGTGAATGGGAGGTGTGATCTAATAACCAAGGATCGAATGATGCTAGACTAAGGCTCTCGATACCATGTGCAAAAGAGTGGATATGTTGAAAACCCTAACTAAAATTTGTTGAAGATTTCTTGTTGCTTGCATTGACTCTCACAGGTTATTTACAGGAACATATGAGGGAGAAACTAGGAGTACAAGCCAAGTTGTACTACGCCTAGTTCTATTCTTGATTTTCAAAAGCATTACATCGACAAAGCCATGGAAATAACCCTCCGACCCTCAGCCCATCGTTGCGACGGTCGGCAATATATGCCCACTTGTCGAGCTTGTACAGAGGCTAGGATTACCAGCATGAGCAGGACGTTGAAGGGACGCATCTAAGAACTTCTTGTTCATGGATCTTTCTGTCCTCAGCTTCTTTTCATGCAGGCTACGGCCAGGCCCGGCCCTGGGGGTTCTTCCCTGCAACCTCTGGCCATATGTGAAGGTATAGGTATAGTATTCTGACCCATAGAAAAATTCAGGAGCCCAAGATCGTACATGAATACAGGAACCAGTGTTGAGACAAGCCCTTGAGAATGTCAAGAATATATATGTTAAATCAATATTTAAGTTTTCTTTGAGAATACAAGAGCCCCTACAGACTAGGCGTGAATAGTCCTCATTGGTAATTTAAACTCATTTTTTATTATGATGTTGATTCAATCTAGTATGACATATTTTTCATATATAAATTTACTATTTACAGTGAACTCATGTTGATCTGGAAGTGAAGAGAAGGATAGATGACTTGATACAATCCAAATGAAGCTATTGATAAAATTTTTAAGAGTAATACAAGCACTTCAAAAAATCTAGATGAGGGCAATAATTGCTGTGGAGATGACCATCAGACTAGAGAAATTTTTAAGGTAAGATATATAATTTGTTTGATAAACATGTTTTTTTTATGTATTACACTTATTATAAACATCATTATATCATTAGAGTTGTATTAAGGGTCTATTTTAATGGCTTCGCTCCAGGCCTATAAATTGGGAGGACCGGGCCTGGCTACGGCCACATGAATACAGGAACCAGTGTTGAGACAGCAGAACAAGGGAGGTTACAGAGCCCCTACATAGTCATTGGAAACCTTTTTGCCTGGCTTCAACGTTTGCATGTGATCTGTGACCACAATTGCTGAGGTCCATGAGCTTATGCAAAAATATTACAGAGCAAATGGTGAGTTTAGAGTGAAAAGAGATCCACAGACTACAGTTTCATCAGGGAAAACAAAATCATCAAAACACAAATCCTCGGGTGTCCATGACACTAATTAAGGTGACTATTGCTTCTCATGCCATTGTGTTTGATTGTTCTGTTTAGTGCTACCACTCCCTGATTTCACCTTACTAGGCCTTTCAGCTCTCCCTGATTTCACCTTACTAGGCCTTTCAGCTCTCACCAACATCTTAGCAAGATATCTAGCAAATGGTACTTGGTACCATATCATCAGGAATGCATGCATATCTTGATAAAAAGGTGTTAAAAGAAATGGTTTTGGTATTTTCATACTATTTCCAATTGTTTGGACCCCCTCCCCCACCACCACCACCACCACACACACACCCCAAACCTGTGGTCATTTCGGTTTTGTTCATGATTAAACAGTGATGAACGAACTCAATGAAAGAAAATTAAAGAGAACCCACAGAGGACTAGGTTTTCGGCTGCTTAATACAAGCCGGCCCAACAAGAAAAGTAATAACAAAAATGCTAATAGGGCCATCTCTTCATGAAACGCCAGTCTATTGGATGAGCACTCTCAACCTTATAAATAGGGCCTCATAATCACAAAGGTGTGACTATTTCCCAACATTGCAGCCCAAATAATATAATGTCATTGACAAACAGCTGTCATGGTGTTAGAAACTGTCAATGTCACATTGTGGTGAAGTTTTGATAATGAATGTTGCGCTACCCACCAGGACACACGAATCAGGGTCACAGTATCTGTGGAGAGCTTTGATCCAAAAGCTTGTGTGCTGGGCCATAGCCACATCTTTGTTTTTTTTTTTTTTTTTGTGTGGCTTGAAACACAACCGTATCTTCACACAGAGATGAACATAATCAAATATCATGAAATCATCCTCGAACAATAGTATATAAACAATGACTTCAAATGCAAAATAGAAAAATGGAAAATAAACAAAGAAAACCCAAACATGACGTGAATATTAACATCATATCATATACATGGAGAATTATCTAAAGTTATACAAGTCCAACAGGGACAAGAAAGAAACAAGGTGAAGGCACATTGATAGAAACATTTTCATGGCTTTATCCTAAGTAGATTCAAACAAAGGCAGTAACAAAGCAACACTATATGGTAGAACTGCATTTTTATATATCTAACTCACATAAGGACTGCATTGCTCTTCAGGAGAATTATGTACCGGGCGGGGCCAAAAGTAAGGTCACTAACTTTGGCGTTCTCTTGCAGGGTTAAACCAAAAAGCCTCTGGCTGGTTCCAACTCTTAGCAAGGATAGGAGCCTATGAAGATTGTGGAGTTTCCAGAAGGCGATACATCGTGATTTCTTGTTGCTTGAAATACCTCCGGTCTTCCTCATCGACAAGGACCAGGTTCAGGTAGTACTTGACACTGAACTTGTTGTTTATGTTTCGGTAAGTTGGGGTAAGCTCATATGGAGTCAAGAATAGTCTCACTGGAATCGATTCTCCTGCACAATCATTGTTGATAAACTTAGCACCTACTGAGTGGAGTATTTTACATAGAAAATTTGACGTAGTCTTCTCAGATGTCAAAAAATAATGTTTACCTGTTACCATTTAACAAGAAGTAAGTGACAGCAAGTTTGCTTGAAAGCTATGCATGCCTTTAAAAATACAAGAGGGGGGAAATATGAGCAATACCTCTAACTGGGGCGCCATCCATAAGCTCAAATTTTGCTAGTGTCTCAGTCTCAACGTATGTGTTGGGACCAGACCCTGTAGATTCACGGCGACGAATCTCAAGCTCCATGTTCTTAATCTTAATTCTGACCAGAAGAAAATATATCTTTCCTATGATGACATCTTTGAGATGATACCTGAATTATGTTTGGACCATAAGAGAGTATGAGTTCCTGACTTGCCAAACCAGGTGAACATAAGAACAGACTGTTAAAACAGTATGTAGTGCTTACTTGCTTTTGCTGTACTCAAATTCAATATGCAAGCAATCTTCAATGCCAACTTCCATCTGAAAAGGCAAGACCATTATACTCATCTAATGAAAACATCCAAGTATTTAACTCCAATATCTGTAACAAAAGTTACGCAAATTGGTGCTATAAACAATTCACCAGGCAATCTATTAGGGTGCACTCTTATCTTCTCTTTAAACTATTAATAATAATACTGATATGATATTTCAGAAGCGGCTAAATGGTAGCTCATATAATTATGAACAGGAATTGAAATTAGTATATGATTATGTAAGCCCTAATTGATACACTTGACAAGTCTCACTTACATGGCCCAAAAGGCATCATGACTTATTAAGCCGGGTCAAATTGCTAAGGCTTTAAAGGTGGAATAAGCCACACAGTTATGAGGACACACCTTGATGCTGTTGTTGATTGTGGGAACTGGAGAGTAGTTTCTTACCTGAAAACAAACATTAGAAGTATGATTGGGTGGTGCAGAAGAAACACAAACTACAAAACCTTAATAAAATCCTAGGAACCATTCAAGAAAAAAATTGAAAAAATATTGGTACATGAAAAAAAAAGAGATACATGCCATGTGGCATTTAATTTGCCAAAGCTCAACTCAAATTAAAACCCAACAGGTTGGAGATACCAAAGTTTGCACTGACCCAGACAAATAATAGATCAATGAGATGATGTCCACACTTACACAGAAGTCCCGCGATTCCACAATGCTGCCAACATAATTTCTGCCAATTGTTACTTTCAGGATGTACCTGCAATATAAACTTCACCTTTCAGAATTGGTGTTATCAGAGTGGCTGATGCTGCACATCATGCAAGCTAGTCTTCAATCTAACATTTGTCCCATTATAAAGCAATTTAAGACTCTGCCTTACCTCAATCTAACATTTGTCCCATTATATGACTCGTATGGCATTTCAACAGTAGCAAACTCAAATGGATAAGTCTTCCTTTCATATATTTCACCAGGAACATCTAATTCACGCACTGCAAGGAGAGAACAGGCACTTCAAGGGAAGAGATAGGCATACAGAGAAACAGTGAGATAGCTTCAAAACAAAAGGGTGCTAAGTTATAGGTGTAATCATATAGTAAATAGTAAAGAAGAGAGTGAAAGATATATGAATTAAACAAAGGTACCTTTTAATGATTGCTAGTAAAACAAAATAATGACAGAACAGACACCAAGAGTTTCAGGAAGCCACATGGATATCTTGAATAGAAGTTGCTAGGCAGTTGTGCATCTGCATATAAAGAGCCTGTTCGCTGGTTGGTTTCTGGGCTGATAAGCCCGGCTAGTGCTGGTTTGTTGTGAGAGGAAAACACTGTTGGCTGGCTGATAAGCCCTAGCTGAAACCAACAAGCGAACACGCTGAAAAAAATCATCATCATCAACAACAACAACAACAACATAGCCTTTCAGTCTCAAGCAAGTTGGGATAGGCTAGAGTTGAAACCCACCAAGAGCCCCAAGTCACGGTTCAGGCACTTTAATAGCTGTTTTTCAAGTATTTCTATTCAAACATAGATCTCTAGGTACATCACAAGCTTCCAAATATCTTTTTATTGCCTCTCCCATGTTAATTTCGGTCTTCCTCTACATCTCATATTATTAGCTTGGCTTAGGACTCCACAATGCACTGGTGCCTCTGGAGGTCTCCTTTGACATGGCCAAACCACCTCAACTGATGTTGGACAAGCTTTTCTTCAATTGGTGCTACTTCTAAATGATCACGTATATCATCGTTCCGAACTCAGTCCATTCTGGTGTGACCATAAATCCATCGCAACATACGCATTTCTGCAACACTCAGTTGTTGAACATGTTAAATCTTTGTAGGCCAACATTCTGCTCCATACAACATAGCCGGTCTAATCGCCGTTCTATAGAACTTTCCTTTTAGCTTTTGTGGTACCCTCTTGTCACAGAGAATGCCAGAAGCTTGTCGCCACTTGATCCACCCTGCTTTGATTCTATGGCTAACGTCCGTATCAATATCTCCATCCCTCTATACCGTCGATCCCAGATACCGAAATGTATCCTTCTTAGGCACTACTTGACCTTCCAAACTCATATCTTCCTCCTCCTATACAACCCCGCCAAAGTCGCATCTCATGTATTCGGTTTTAGTTCTGCTCAATCTAAAACCTTTAGACTCAAGGGTCTACCGCAATAACTCTAGTTTCCTATTTACTCCCGCTTGACTTTCGTCCACTAACACTACATCATCAGCGAACAACATACACCAAGAGATATCCCCTTTTATGTTCCTGGTAACCCTATCTATTACCAAGGAAAAGAGATACGGGCTTAAGGCTGACCCTCAATGAAGTCCAATTTTAATCGGGAAGTAATCTGTGTTACCATCGTTTGTTCGAACACTAGTCACAATATTGTTGTACATGTCCTTGATGAGGGTCACGTACTTTGATGGGACTTTATGTTCATCCAAATACCACCACATAACATTTCTTGGTATCTTGTCATAAGCCTTCTCTAAGTCAATGAAAACAAGTGGAGGTCCTTCTTCTGCTCTCTAAACTGCTCCATAACCTGTTTTATTAAGAAGATTGCTTCTGTGGTTGACCTTCCGGGCATGAAACCAAATTGGTTTGTTGATATCTGCGTCGTTCCTCGCAGGCGCTGCTCGATGACTCTCTCACATAACTTCATAGTGTGGCTCATCAACTTAATTCCCTGATAATTAGTACAACTTTGAATATCTCCCTTGTTCTTGTAGATTGGTACAAATATGTTTCTTCTCCACTCCTCAGGCATCTTGTTCAATCGAAAGATATTGTTGAACATCTTGGTTAGCCATACTATAGCTATATCCCCGAGACATCTCCACACCTTGATTGGGATACCATCATGGCCCATCGCTTTGCCCCCTTTCATCCTTTTCAAGGCTTCTCTGACCTTCGATTTTTGAATCATCCGCACAAAGCGCCTGTTAGTGTCATCAAACGAGTCGTCCAGCTGAACGGTGGTGTTCTCGTTCTCACCATTGAACAATTTATAAAAATACTCTTGCCATCTATGTTTGATCTCATCCTCCTTCACCAAGAGCTGCTCCCTCTCATCCTTTATGCACTTGACTTACTTGAAGTCCCTTGTCTTCCTATTGCATGCCCTAGCCATCATATAAATGTCATTCTCTCATTCCTTCGTACTCAAACGTTGGTAAAGGTCCTTATAGGCCTGCCCCTTTGCCTCACTCACCGCTCGTTTTGCAGTCTTCATTGCCACCTTGTACTTCTCTATGTTGTTTGCACACCTGTCATGATACAAGCGCTTATAGCACTCCTTCTTTTCCTTAATAGCATTTTGCACATCTTCATTCCACTACCAAGTGTCTTTCGAGTCGCATCCTCTCCTTTTGGTCACTCCAAGCACCTCTGAAGCAACCTTCCGAACGCATGTTGCCATCTTCTCCCACATGTTGTTTGCATCGCCTTCATCATTACAAGGGCCCTCTTCAATGACCTTTTCCTTAAAGACCTTTGATGCCTCCCCTTCTAATTTCCACCACTTCGTTCTAGCAACCCTAGTTTATTTGTTCCCACGAGCTTGCACCAGAAAGCGGAAGTCAGCCACCACCAGCTTGTGTTGAGCGACCACACATTCTCCGGGTATCACCTTACAGTCCACGCATGTTCGTTTATCCCTCCTTCTTGTAAGGACAAAGTCGATTTGACTAGAGTATTGGCCGCTACTAAAGGTCAATAAATGGGACTCTCTCTTACGGAAGAAAGTGTTAGCTACCATTAGATCAAAAGTTATGGCGAAGTCTAAGACTTCATCTCCCTTCTGGTTCCTACTACCATATCCGAAACCCCCATGAACCACCTTGAAGCATGCACTTGATGTACATACATGGCCATTAAGATCACCTCCTATAAAGATGCTTCTCGCTACTAGGGACAGCTCTAACCAAGCGATCTAAGTCTTCCCAGAAAAACCACTTAGCACTCTCATCATGACCTACTTGAGGCATACGCACTAATTACGTTTAAGACCATATCACTAATGACAAGTTTAACTAAGATGATCATATCCCCTTGCCTTCTCACCTCCACCACACCATCCTTGAGGCTATTATTAATCAAAACTCCTACTCCATTTTTATTTGAAGTTGTCCCTGTGTACCAGAGCCTGAAGCCGGTAATGTCCACCTCCTTCACCTTCTGCCCCTTCTATTTAGTCTCTTGGACGCATAAGATATTTACACTGCGTATAAAAAATCAATTCGAGAAAATATCTACCTAATGAAGTGAAGTCGTAGAAGTTGCCTCTGTCAAAATATAGCTCTGTAGTAAAAAAATGGCAGACAAAAATGTTAGAACCTATTAAGATATAAAGTGTTGAACAGCCAGCAATATATATTATTATCACTGACAACAAGGAGCATTTCTCAACAATGCTATTGTTTTTTTTTTTTTTTTCCCTGATTTTTGCACTTTCTCAGCATTGCAATAGTTTACCATGAATGAAATTAAAGAAAACTCTGACTGTGAATCCAATTGTACAAATAGTTTCTCGACAAATCGTTTATTGAACGACCTGAACCAATAGCCACACTAATTTGGCTCCCTAAACCACACAAGGGCAACTAGGTTCAGAACAAATCAGAAAAGCAAGGGAGAAATGGAGGTAGCAGTAGCACAACTGAATTTGTACCTATCTGACCCAGCAGCTCAATCTTCACACCCGTGTGCTCAAGCCTTTTACCTGGAACCGGAGCGATCGACACCTGCATGCAATTTCATAACAAAAACTTAACGCACACTCAGATCACGCACACCAGAGTAAACACAGAGGAAAAGGAGCCACAACTGGCACTAGCACTACCTCTCCAGCTATGGTCTCAAGGCTCTGGAAGGCCGGCACCATGATAGTCTTCCCATTGTCCTTCTTGATCTGCACCTGCAATTGTCCAAGGAGCCAATCAAATCAACCCAGCAGCCAGTTCGATAATAATCTATAAGGCTGTAACAGTGACATCAAGAATCAGGGGGAACGCAGAGGGGACGCACCTGCTTCCGGGTCCTCTCATCGGAGAAGGTGACGAAGATGTCGCAGGGCGGCTTGAAGGCGCCGATGATGTAATTCTGGGGTCAGGAAGAGTGGAAATCAGCGGGGATCTAACCTCTCTAAAGCACCGCGCGTCCTAAGGTGCTAAAGATGCCATCTTGGAGAGGGGAACGAATCAAGAACAGCCAAAGATCAGAGGCATGTGCGTTGATTACCATGGCAGCTTCTGAGTCAGGGAAGCGATTCCAGCGGCGATCCGGAGGAGACCGCCGAGGACCCGAGGTGGGGCGCCGGCGCGGGAGAAGGACGGAGGGGATCACCGGCGAATCAGCAGCACTGCAGCAGTCAAGGGGGAGACGAGGAGTCGCTGGGCTGGCTGCTGGTGCGCCGTGCGCCTCCCGGCCTGAGCTGCTATTTGCCTGCGTGGGCTGGGCTCTCTCTTTTTTTCCAGGCGATCCGTTATGGGCCGTTTACTTCGATAGCATCAGAAATTTTGACCGTTGATGTGTGGTAATGACAATCTGGACTCTGGTGGAGTGTCCACGGCGCAACTGGGTTTTGTAGGTTGGCCCAGTTGCAGCAGATGATGGGCTTCAAACCACAACCAAAAGTGGAAAGGTTCATGTAAAAAAATTTATTTCTATATTTTCTAATTTGCTTTTTCCAAAAATAAATGGTCAAGTTAAAATTTTACAAAGAGTTAAATACATGAGTGACCCCTGAACTTGTCAAGGGATGCCACTTAGGTCGGCGAACCATGAAAACATATTTCTAGATCTCTAAATTTGTTAATCAGGTTCTTGCTCCATTACAATATTTTTTTTAAAAAATATTCCTTTATAATGTTTGACTAGATATGTGCTTGTGCGCGCACAGAGTAGATGGTGATGCTACGGACACTCAAAAAAAACTTGAGTAGAGCAACCAAACACACATCCAATCGCTATTCTTGCTTGGTAAAGTGCCACGATGCGTGGCGAAGGATCCATGGAGGTCCATCTCTTAACTTCCATAGTTTTTCATGGGTCCTACAACACTAATCTCTATTTATCAATCATATTTTAGGTCCGTTTTGTATAGCTCTGCTAGCTCTGTGGATGCAAGGTCTGTTTAGTTGCCTGCCACATTTTGTCATGCCTAAGGTTAAGTATTTGTCACACCGTGGCTTGCCACATTCTGTGACAAAATCGATATGTTTGGTTCATTACTAAACCGTGGCAATTGTGTGGCTGTTGTTTACATGGTTGCCACAAAAAATTAACCCAAATTGCCACATATGGCTTAGATCAATTTATGTTAAAATCAAATCACAAATTTGTACTATGTTTCTAATAAACATGTAAATTAAAACTAATATAGATAATTAGTGGTCTAGATACCCTTCTATTTTTCTATTTTTTCTTTTCGTAAGTTTTCACTTATTTTTATTTTTCCTTCTGCTCTCTCTACCCCATCCAGACTTCCTTTTATTTCTCTTTCTTAATTTCTCCCCAAGGACGAGAACTGAGTGCTAGCTCGGTTGGTGTGCGCTACGGGTGTGCAGGGCACCCGCTCGGGTTCGATGCCTAGCATCGGCACTGGATGTCTCACCGGGAACAGTGTTTTCTTTAATAACTCCAGTTGCCTCGCATGGATGTGCCACAACTATCATATCTTTTAGCCGTGTTCTTTTAGCCTTAGATATAGGTCGTAAGTCAAGCTTGCGCACTAGGGGTGTGAGTGAGTGTGCGTGAAAAAATTCCTCCCTACGGACGCACCACAAGAAGCAACCTTTTCTTCTTCATCCAAACTCCACCGCACGCGATGTGTCTAGCCCAGGCGGCCTAACGGCAGCGCACTCGCGCGTCCCGGCGCCCCGCAACCGTGTGTCCTGTTCCGGCGGTCGCGCTCGACAGCTCCTTCTTCGTGCCCGGCGTCCGCGCCCGAGTTGATGGCTACGGTCTTGTTTAGTTGGCGAAATATTTTGGAGAATGGTACCGTAGCACTTTCGTTGTTATTTGGCGATTAGTGTCAAATCATAGTCTAATTAGGCTTAAAAGATTCGTCTCGTGAATTTCGTCTAAACTGTGTGATTAGTTTTATTTTTTATTTATATTTAATGCTTCATGCATGCATTAAAGATTCGATGTGACGGAAAATCTTGAAATTTTTTATAAAATTTTAGAAACTAAACAGACGCTACGCCGGGCACGTGTACGGATCCTACTCGGGATCGGACGACGCGCACGCGCGCGTGCACGAAGGTTTGTGTACGAAACCCGTCGAGACTTTTTAGGTGATAATAGATTGTGTGATAGGTTCATCAGTTTCTTTTCTTTGGTTAGGGAATGAAGGACGACGCGCACGCGCGCGTACACGAAGGCCTGTGTACGAAACCCGTCGAGGCTTTTTAGGTGGTAATAGATTGTGTGGATAGGTTCATCAGTTTCTTTTCTTTGGTTAGGGAATGAAAGATACAGTGATTGTGTCTTTAGCACCGTTGACAATAGTTACCTGGGTCCGCCTATCATTTGTGTCACTACTTTTCCCACCATGGATTATCTTCTTGAGCGTAGAGCCTGCCAAACACTTAAATATAATAATATATTTAGATATATAGCAAAATAGATAAAAAAAATTAAAATGACTCATAATTTAAAACGGAGGGAGCATCAATTTTAACGGCCTGTTCGGTTGGCTGGTTCGTATTGTTGCTGATTTGTGAAGAAGTACGGCTGACTGGTTTGTGTGAGAGAAAAATACTATTCCGACTAAAAATTTACGATCATTTACGACAAGCCACAGCCAAACAAACATGCTCTTAATCATACTTGAGCTTTTTCTACTAGCACACAGCTTACAATTGTATTTTTTTTATACGGGGTAGCCGTGGATTGGGCCATTCTACCACACGTCATCTCGTGACGCCACGTCGCCACAGCGCCGCGGCCTGGCCACGCCACGGCACGCCAGCATGACGAGCGAAGCTGGACCTCACATGGTGACGGCTCAACACGCGTCGGTGGTCACCCCACCGCCTAATCCTTTCTCGTGCCGCCCGCCCGGCGCTCCCCACCGCCTTCGCGGGCGTTCGGCTGTACTACTTTCCGCTTGAGCTTGTTATTCACTGTTGAATCCGTGTCCCTACTCCCCTGTCCCTGGAGAAGCGAGAGCGAGGGAAGGTGCCAAGCAAAGGGAGGAGAGAGAATCTTCACAGGGCACTCACTAGGCAGGCAGCGACGAAGTCAACGCAGCTTCGTCTCCTTCCGACCTTCCCTTTCGCTGGCCGTCGGCGTCGCGTCGGCGCCATCGCCACGGCCACGGCGCCGCTCCGTACCGGGTCCGCGGGCCTGCCTCTCGCCACGGGACCCGTCCCAATAAGCCTCACCCCGCTGCTCTGCTCTCGCGTCCGTCCACCTATAAACACAGAGACACACAAACAGGGCAAGGGACAGCCGGAATCACAAGGAACAGCAGCGCCTGCCCTGCCGCCGCGCCGAATCCAGCCACGCTCCCACCTCCAATCTGGCCGCCCGACACGCTGGGATCTTTCTTTCCTTAGCCGATCGGTCAACGCCGCAGATATTATTCTCCTAATCTCTTTCTCTGCGCCTCTCTGGAGGTTTCCGTAAACCCGTCGCCCCTTCCTTTGTTGCAGGTGAATCCGCCGTTCCCCCCTTTTCCTCCTCGCTTCCCTCGTCGCTTCTCGATTCGTCACCGGTGGGCGTAGGCGAGGCAATCGGCAAAGGTGGGATTTTGATCTTGTTTCCGGGGCCTGCTGCGTTTCGTGAAGGTTCAATTGTGTCGAAGGTTTGGTCCTGTTCGGGTTACGGCTGTCGATCCTGTGTTGTTCTTGTTTCTCCGTGATATATACGATTGAGTAGGTCGATTGGTAGACGCTAGAATCGATTTGGGTGCCGCTGGCCTGATAGTATTACTATTTCTTCTTGCGTCGAATGGGATGGGATGGATTGTGTTGTGGTGTTGCCAGACTGAACTGTCTGTTGTTGGATGGGGATTATGTGGACGGGATTTTGGTGCTCCTGGAGCCAGAGCTTTGCGTCCAAGTCCCAATTTGCAGAAAGATGAAACTTTGTTGTCAATTTCAGATTTTCTTTTCAGTGGATGTGGATGTGTCTGTCCAACACCTTCTGTGGAATGACCTGATTTTGTTGGCTGCCATTGATAGGTATTGGCGAGCAGACGGAGCAGTTGCTTCATTTCGACTTCGACCTCCGTCTGTAGTGAACCGATTTGGGATTTTGGAGGAGGCTTGGATTGCACAGCATCTGCATCAGTTCACTTCCCTTGAGCATTTGGTATCTGCTTGGGCGTACTGGTTATACAGTTCTGGTTCAAGGAACGCCTCTCTGAGGTTTCCTTGGATTATGGGAGCGTTCTGTTCATGTCTGCAACCTGATTATTCCGACCACCATGGAAACCAAGCTTCCTCAGCGTTTAGGAACTGCATGTGCCTCAGATGCTTTACCCAGCAACTGATCAATGCGGTATGTTCTTCTTATCATGGATGCTTGATTCCTTGCAGATTGAATTTTGTTCACATGATAGAGTTGGGACAAGAAAATAATAGCTGACATCCTATTAATTCAGTTTATCGGTGGAACAACGTTTGCCATCACACTGCGCATTGCAAGCAGTGAACTTCATTAACTGTTTCTGTTAAACTTAAATATGCAATGATATCTCGTGTAAATATTTCAAAATGAAACAATGCAATGTAATTTTAATCAGTTACGCAAAATGATTGAAATTTGTTGTGGAATGGATACTTAACACTTTATAGTGTATATGTATTATACTGTTCTCATTGGTAACATTGTATATTTGTTGTTTCAGTGCTTGGCCAAAATTAATTATCATATTGTGCTACATACCGATGTACTTGGTTAAGAAATTGCATTGCTCTCTAGTAACAACACCTTTTGTCATGAATATAAGTATGTTTGGCTGGCTGATAGCAAGCATGGGTAACTCATACAAAAAAGTGTTCAATTGTATATACTGACATAAACTCTGATCTGGAATAAATAGCTGATTTAAGTTGAGATGATACAGATGGGAAATGGTTACATATTGATCACCTCTTTTGTTTTCAGTACACTGTTTTGTTCCGAGCTGGAGCAGTGCATTCTGTTTCTCCAGCTATTGAAGCCACTCCTGTTGATTTAAATGAAAGCTCCTTCGATACATATCGTTCACCCCCAAGACCTCTGCCCTATGATGATCCACGATTTTCCCCGCCTGCTCGTGACTGGTTAAGGCGTGAGAGCCCAAGCCATTCCCCAGAGGAATCAGAACCACTTAGAGCAAATGATGACGATGAGGAAATGGAAACACCAAGTAGAATAGACAAGGCAAGTAAAACAAACTACAGCACAAAAATGAAAATCTCCAGCTCTGCTTATGGAGATAAGGTGCCAACAAGGGAACATGGAAATTACTTCAGCTATTTTTCCCCATCTGCTGAAGATGAAGATGTCTGTCCAACATGTCTTGAAGGTATTATCGCAATAATAATTATTTTTTTCTCTAGTATATTGGATAGATGTCCTATTATTTTGCAAAACGCTACAGTGAAATTTTCATAACATTGGAACTTTGGTACACGTGGATTAACCGAAAGGTGTTCAGAACTATGCGCATTGCTTTTTTCTCTGTTGATACTTTATAATCGCATTCTCACTATTGTTATATGTTAATGTAACTAAATTGCAGATTATGATTCTGAGAATCCTAGGATAGTAATGCAGTGCTCACACCATTTCCACCTTGGCTGTATTTATGAGTGGATGGAAAGAAGTGAGGCATGCCCTGTCTGCGGAAAGGTAGTTTTTTTATCTCTATACTCACCCTTATAACGTAAAATTTATTCATTTCACATGTTCTGCTATGAAGCCATTAACCAGAATTTACTTACAGGAACTGAAGTCATCGCCTCATATCTGCATTCCAACTTCTTTACATACATGCTATAAAACAAGCAACAAATCATTTAGTTTGAATGTTGTGTTATCGGAATTATGTAAAAGTTGGCTGAACTGAAATAAGTCATAAGAAATCTGTACTGTCTGCATTATAAAAGCAGGCTGAAATACATCACAAGGAACCTGGACCGTCTGCATTAGGGATTTGTTGGCAGATAATTTTATTTTGAGTCAGATTAAAAACTAAAGAAGTATTAGTAATAGTTTGATGCTCACTGATTGTTGTGTCTGATTTTTGTCAATTGTAAGCTGAGCCTGAGTTGTCTCAAGTTTCATAAAAAAATAATAGTCTCTAATAAATAAATATATAATAGCTGATGGCAATTGTGATCTATTTTACCATTCTACACGAAATGTTATTTTCTCTGATGGACACTTTATTGACCTCCCACTTTGTAATTCAATGCAGAAGATGGAGTTTGACGAGACAACATAATCCTCTGGCTGGAGTCTACACCATGGATTAACAACCTTCTCATATGACATCTGAAAATACAGGTGGTCTAGCCCAGCAAGTTCTCTGTAAATACACCCTGTAAAAACTGAATTGGTAGTGGGTTCCTCTTGGCCCTACAAGTGCTCTCCAAATGCTGGAACGGTGCACATAAACATTCTTTTACGATTTCTTCCAAATAGTCAGTTTGCCCTGTTTGTGCCCCTGCCTCTGCCTTGTAGAGGCTTAGAGGTGCCTTGGTTGTCCAGTGATAGTTTCATCGGTAAGCTGTAAATTAAAGACCTACGCTCATATAATCATATATGGAGTCCCATGTTTCCAGAAGTTTTTGCAATAATAACTATTTGGCTTGAGAGGCTGAAATGCCGGCATAGTAGCTTTAGAGATTGAAACGCTGTCATAGTAGTGGTGTTCGTCTGATTAATGTTTGCTTCTGTGGTGTCTGTATTTGTGATTTACGGCCACATATGAATAGTGATACTCTTCAGGCTCAGGGGACCCCCATTTTTGGAGGCTCAGGGGACCCATTTTTGGTCTCCTTCCATGGTTCCTCCAATCCTATCCATGTGGAGTTGAAAGACTTGAAGTCCATTGGTTTGATTCTGAAGCTGGTGTGCGTTGTTTGTAAGCAAATGCGGTCCTTCAGTCGCTCTATCTTTTTTGAACACAGAAGATCCTTTTGTTCCCAGCATGAGGTGTTTTTATCAAGCAAAATTTTGAAGTCTAAGTTATGCTGAACTTTGGACTCTGCAGTAGTGAGGTGCTGTAGGCCACATAGAACTCTGTTTATATGTGCTGTGTGGCATCTTATTTCACAAGAGAATAGGCAGCATATAAAAAGTTTTGGAACCCGAGATGGTCCATCCATTTATGCAGGTTGTGCACCTGTAGTATTCAACGGTGATGAACAAATGCAAATAAGATGTTCTGCACCTGCAGTATTCAAGCGTAAACCTGAAATGGTAGATGGACACATGTGCCAAATTTCAAGCGTAAACAGAATCTGGACAATTAGTATTGGGAACACTTTACACATGTTCTGAACTTCTGATGAACACATGTTCTGTAATCTGAACTTCTGATGAACAGAAGCAACAACAAGCAGGACAAGTCAGTTTTGACACACACACATACAGGTACTGATGAGACGACCGAACCCAATGAAATTGCAGAGATAGAGATACACGTGAACATTTCTAAATTACAGAGATACACATGAACATACATTTCTCATTGGAAATTAACGGCACGGCACATCCAGCAGGTTACGATGAACTAGTAAAATCAAGGTTGCCAAGCAGGCGGGCGGCGCTCTCGATGGAGCCTCAGATGTGAAGCCTGAACTGAGAAGGTGGCCATCACACATCACTTGCTGCCGGGGGGCCCGCCGCCGAAGAGGTAGCCGAGCGACGAGCCGCCGCCGGGCGCCGCGTGCACCTTGGTCGACGGGCGGTCCTGTGAGTCACGCCGTGGCGATCAAACGATATCACGAGCGCAGAGGCAAAAGGGGACGACGTCGACCGAAGAAGAACAGAGGAATGGCTAGCAAGGCGGCGACTGACTGACCGTGAGGAAGTTGCCGCAGTTCTGCCCCTGCGCTCGGAAGTAGTTGTTGGTCTGGCTGCCGCGGACGCCGGCCGGGATCCCCTTCTGCTTCTCGCCGTCTGCGGCAGCCGCCGCCGCAGGCGCAGGCTGCTGTGCCCTCTGCTCCACAGCCGCGGCGGGCTCGTCGCCACCGCCGCCGCCGAAGAGGTAGCTCAGCGAGCTCTGCCCGCCCCCGTAGCTGACGCCCCTGCCGCGGCCCATTCTCCGCCTCGGCCTCCTCGCTCCCCGCTCGACTAGTTAGTTCTCCGCTGGCAGACGAAAGGAAGCTGCTTGGAGTGCCATAGCCACCTTGTGTCGCCGGAGGCCGACGCTATTAATAGCGGCGCGCCGCGCGGCCGCGGGAGCGGCCGTACTGCATCGCGGCCGTCGGTCTCGTGGCGTCCGCGGATCGGACGGCGAGGACCCGCCTCGGCGTCGGTGCCGGGGTGGGTGGGGCCCGCGCGGGCGGCGGTTTAGAAATTTCCGATCCGGTTGGCTGTGCGTCGCCATGATTGGGAAAATGATGGGAGGTGTGTTTCGGTGGGCCCCACCCAACGAGTGAGTCACTGACCGTCTGACCTGACCAGTCAGCTCCCGGTCGCTGTGTGCACGACGCGACGCGTGAGATAAGGCTGTGTTTACATCGTGAATTTTAGAATTTGATTACCGTAGTACTTTCGTTTTTATTTAATAATTAGTGTTTAATTATGGACTAATTAGATTTAAAATGTTTGTCTCGTAATTTTTAACTAAACTGTGTAATTAGTTTTTTTTTCGTCTACATTTAATGCTCCATGCAGTATCGCAAGATTTGATGTGATGACTACTGTAGCACTTTTTTGAAAGTTTTTGGGAACTAAACAAGCACGAGAATTCAAGAGAGAGGAATGTTTCCCTCCGAGAATTCAATTCGTGAGCGAATTTGTCACAAATCGTAGCAAACACCTGAGGATTTGGATTTCAAATCTCTTTCGTTCGAAGCAAAAGCCATATATGGCCACGTGGTCGATTGGTGTCGGCAGCCTTTGGTTTCCTGTTTAATTGACGATTTTTTTTAGGGGTTATGTGAATTTAGTGATGATGTATACGTCGTTTACTACTTAAAAAACAATGCTGTTAAATATTGTAGTAATGTAATATATACAAGAAAATATGAAGTAGGGATACTCTAATGCTCTATCACAAAGAATCTAAAAGCATCACCAGCACTATTACCCAAAAATGTCCTCTATTTTCGTGTTTAAGTATAGCCTCTTGTTTTCCAAGGACGACGCTACCTAGATTTATGCCTCCAAAAAACCTTGAAATAATGGGATCGATTGTTTCATCTTCTCCTTTCTTCTCTTGCCTCTCCCGCACGACTGCCTCACCCTTGAGCGGTGGTACCCCCGATGAGGAGGTTTTCTTTACCTCGAGTCACACCCCTGGCATAGTGGTTGCTCCTTCATCTGCCGACAAGGCGGAGGAGCGAGGCGTCGGACGAAGAGGCGCCACTCTGGACAGGGTTTGGTAGCAAGGATGACGATGTGGTGACAAATGGGCGGAGACGTGATGATGGACATGGCATGGTGGTAAAATGGAGATGAGTAGGGCTGGCACAGGGACGGCGCCACGAAAGTGGGACAAGGTGGCAGCGTGTCGGCGGATGAAGAGATATGGTGGGTGGTATAATAACTAATAGAAAAGTAGGTAGGCACCTGCGGGAATAGATGATGTGAGAAGGGATTTGGAGGGCCTCTACTTCTGAGGGGTCAGGTAGGAAGCCTACAATAACTTGGGGCACGTTTGGATGGATGGCAAGTTTTGAGTAGACTTGCTTAGCTAGGCGAGGCTAACCTTGCTTAGTCCAGCAAGTCAATCTAGCTCTCCCTACATAGCAAGGAAAAACTCACTTACACATAAATCGAGACGTCAAGGTAAGGAATCCAAACATGTTTTTATCTTTCGTTTCTCGCTGTGTGAGGCTAGGCTTGGCTGGTTAGCAGAATCAAAGGTGCCCTTGTTTTTTTTTTTTCCACTACCCAAATATAAGTAGTAGGACCCAAATATTGAGGAGGCGTGTTTAGGTAGCGGGTAGCCTGCTGGTAATACTTTAACCTGCTGAGCTACGTTTAGTTTATGTTTGAACAAAATATTTCGATGTAAAAACTCTTATATTCAAGCAAGCCCTTGATGTAAACTGCACATGATGTTACGTCTTTTAAGATTATGGTTTGAATTCTGCTGAATTTTGTCGATCTCAGCGTATGACCAAAATTGCAAAAATGTTACCCAAGTCGGGTCCCCAGGTGATGCTAGTGGACAGCGTCCATAAGAGTTTGATACGGCAGGTGCAAAGCTAGCTGATGAGGCAGCAGGCCACACAATTGGTGGCTGATAGCTTGTGGTTGGAGAAAGCATCGGACGCCACAAGTTGTGGAAAGGGACGTGCCATCTGCTGGTGCACTGCACGCAGCAGCTAGCTACCCCATATATGTCCCTATCTATCTATTGCAATCACAAGGTTCCGAGAGTTAGGTATTCTATCTATAACCAAAAAGAATGAAAGATCAGAGGGAAAGAAAGAAAGAGAGATAGATTGGATAGGAAAGGAGATAAAGACACTAAGCATCATTAGGTCAGATGGAGGAATCTCCATGGCTTAGTGGTCCTGACTATTAGCAGAACCATGCTTTGTGATGGCGACTGGGAACATATCAATTGCATTATTTAATTTGTTGGTGGAATGGTATTGTTTCTGCAATAAGGTGACCTCTGTCGGTGTATCCTACCATCTTAGTAGTGCCTGCACTTTATTCAGTGGTGTGCATTCATCCTCGCAGTGCTGCATTTTCTTCTACCTGATCGCTTCTGCCTTTACGCGAACAAAAATGAAAAGAACATTATTTTTCAAAAAGAAAAGAAAAGAAAAGAAAAGAAAAGAAGAGAAGATATCCTAATAAAGCATCGAGATTGAATGGAATCGTTTTTCCAATAGTTCGGTTTCAAAAGGTTCAGTCTGTTTCCTAATAGAAATATCATGAGAAATCAACGAAGGCTTCAAATAGCAACAGACATAGCAAAGTCAGCATTCTTGGTTTAATTTAAGACATGCACTATTTGACAGACAAGTCAACAATACTTGCCAAAACAAAGGCGTAATTCAGAAATTCAGCACTTAAACTGTGATGTGATTCATTATTCACATACTCAACAATTACTTAGAGGATACTTCAACTTCACTGACAACTTCGGAACACAACAACCACATCTGTGGTTCAGGATCATGAAAATAAAGTTGCGAAAAAATATACTTTACAACAAGATAATTCAGTGAACTCCAAGAATTACTAGTGAAATCTACAGCTTGAAATGTGGCTGCAATTATTCAGCCGCTCAGCACCAAGAATGCAAGGTTCATAAATTGTGGTAAATAACCAATTTATGGCAACTTGGTGATCAGCTCTTGAAAATCAAAAACCACCCAGTCAGCTTCAGCTGCGACTGGCTCTCTCATCTGAACACCGGCATAACAGATGAACAAGTCTGCTCCGCCAGGTTGCCGAGCCTGCAAAGACTCGGGCAAATTTATGTAACTGTATACATTTCTATTTTGGTACAGTATTGTAGTTAAAATTGCTATACACTGATATATCAGAGAAGTCTTGTATCATTAATCTCAATACACTTTGCTAGTTATTTCTTTCTCTGAAATATTCACTAAAGAACAGCTGCCAGATGTCGGTAGCCTCAAACCAATTTCTTTTGGCATGTCTTAAGCAAAATTAACACTTTGATCCACTCATTTTTACATCATGATAAATTATATTCTATGCATAAGGTACTCGCCTATTATTTCTATCTCATGCTACATGGACAAGAGAAACAACATTATGAAATTTGAGTGATAAACACAAACAGTGAGAAAGGTTTGCATGCTCATTAATCGAATCAGCCAGGAAGCATCCATATCATTACAAAAAATGAAGTTAGTGTCAACAACTACTGTTTACCCAATAAGACACATTATCGATATTCATATCTATTGTCAGGGTAGAAGTTTTAAAGGCATTATCCAGTCATATACCTCCAGATCAGTTGCACCATCACCAATCATAACAACTGTCTTGTAGCCATGGTCCTGAACAGAAACAAAGGTTAGCACACTAGTAAGAAGTAAAAAGCTGCAACCAAAAGATATACAGTTTAACTAGACCTGTTTTATTTGCTGCACTGCTTTTGCTTTACCCCCACTGCGCGAAGTGGGCTCTGCAGGATCAAATCCAGCATACTCCCCCGAAGTGCGAAATAACAATTGGTTTGCAGTGATGTTTTCAGGAGGAATACCAAGCTCAAATGCCACAGGCTGGAAACAAGGCAAACATAAAAGTGATGATTGTGGGCCACTCGATGATAACCCATTGTATATATGTGAGAATCACTTGCACAATACATCCACAATTGCAAAAAAAAAGGGCAGACCTAGTGCCGGAGGCTCCCACATGAGTGGGGTCTGGGGAAGGGATAAACCGAGACAAGCCTTTCCCCCGCAAAATCTGCGGAGAGGCTGCTTCGAACCCACGACCTGGTGACTCAGTGAGACAGCTCTCACCACTGCACCAGGCCTCAGTTGCGAATGTGGAATACATCCACATTCGCAACTTAGAATAAAGTGTGGTTTAAACAAATTGTACTTTTTAGATCTTGTACCAGAAGTTACATCCCTATTTATTATTGCAACTGATAATGTAGGTCTATCTTAAACTACAGATATATTAAAATACAGTTTGCTCCATCATTGGAACATAACGAGCATACATATGAAGGTCTATCTTAATCACGTATGATATTACAGGACCTACCTTGATCATTTGTCGGAAGCCTCCTGACACAAGGAACACATCAATATTATTGGATTTTAGCTTCTTAACCAAATCAGCCATTCCAGGAGAAATCCTGCAAACCAAAAGGCAGTTCTATTGATAATCTTGTGAGTGGACCAAGAAATTGTACAATGCTGGTCTGTATGTCTACTTCATTATCTTGATCCAAAGATTCAGAATGAGTTGACACACTTGCTTCCTTGTGGGCTGTGTCTTCACCAGGTAGATTTGGTTTTCAATTCTCCAAGCCCTACATCTACCTGCTCTAGTGCCCTCAACGTCAGACACCAAATTCTCTAGCTGGTGGAGGAAAGGTCTTCGGCTTATTCCAAAAGATTTGCAAAAGGGGTTCAACTCTTTAGTTATTCTGGTAGCTTGGGAAACCTGGAAACATAGGAACTCTTGTATTTTTTGAGCACGCTAGGCCTAGCATTCCAGATCTGCTCCGAGTGATAGCTGATGAATGCAGTTTTTGCGGGGTGGCTGGAGCTTCTAAACTCCAAGAGCTCCTTGCCCGGTCGCTGTCCTTGGCCACTTAGATTGTGTCTAGGTTGGTCAGGGTTTTAGTTGTTGCCTCTTTTATTTTTTCTATAAGAGTTTGCTTCCTGTTGGAGGTGTGTGTGTGTGGGGTGGAGTTTTTTGTACTTGGGCCAGTTCCTGCCGGCCCTCTGCTTCTTTCTTCTTCTTAATGAAATGACACGCAGCTCTCCTGCGTTGTTTGAGAAAAAAAAAGTTGATACACTTGCTTGCTTCTTCTATTAAGTCTGAAATTGTAAGGAAAATAAAGAGAGCAAAGTATTTCTCTGTCATACTTGATTGTACCCCTGATGCAAGCCACCAATAACAAATGTCTTTAATTATAAGATATGTGGATTCATCTTCAGATAATATTTCCATAGAAGAATCCTTTCTAGGATTTTTAGATGTAAATGACACAACCGGACAAGGACTTTTTGATGTGCTATTGAAGTCATACTTGCGTTCTACAATGACACAAGAAAGACTTAAATAGTTTGGCTACGATAGTACTTGAGAGTGGATTGCTGGACAAGATTAATTATGAGCATGTTATTGAAGATTTTATTTCAAAGAACACTAAGAGAATGATGTTATTCAAGTAAAGATTATGCAAACCAAGAGTTCAAAAGGTACTATTCTTGATATATTGCATTTGCTCTGCAGTATATACATTATTTTGGCTATATTTGGTACTTCGATTCAGGCCTCACTTAGAGCTTCGTATAGGGCCTATAAATCTGACAGCACGGCCCTGCACAATAATTAACTCTATTGCAGGGCAGGTGAAACACAATAATGTTGATTGAGTTCTCTCTTGGTTTTATACTGTATTCAGAGAAATCTTAGGGCACTACAACAAAAGGCATAAGGCAAATTGGCTAAAATGATAATGCTATGGTTGGCTGTACAAATTTAAAGTATTAACTACACTTATTTTTTTTTGTCTTGCCATAAAAACAGAAACTCGGACAGTCAATTATTGTTACTAATTAGTAATTACTTTTTGTTCTGCTCAGAGTTAAGTATGACCGTGGAAACAGCAAAGGGATAAACACCTATAGAACATACCCATTATTTCCAAAAGGTAAATAGCCGAGGTGCAGAATCCAAATAAATAAAAAAGGAAGGCTAAGCAATGACGTTAAAATAGTGCCTACCACCATACAGACTAACATGAAGTTTTGAATATGGCAAGCTACCCTTTCAAAAAAAAAAAAAAGGCAAGCTTACCTTGGTGGCCTCTTCTTCAGGCATTCCTCCACCTGGGAGAGAGAAGGCTTGATTAAAGACAGCCTGGCTGCCAGCGCCTCCTCAAATGGAACAGTCCCTGTCATGGCCCTGTGAACATTAAGCCAAGGTTAGTTCTTCCCAGAAAAATCAACAGTACAGATGAATCAATCTACACAATGGAGAGTTTACTTTGCTGTCCATTCAGCAACAGCTTTTCCTGCCCCACAGAAATCAGCAAGCTCGTCAATGCCCTCATCCAGGATGACGGTGCTATCAACATCGAAACATACCGCATCAGCACTGCGCAATGTCTCAATAGCCCCTGTAAACATGCAGGCAAGCAATATGCAAGTTACTCCCAATTCACTCACAGTGCAGTTAAGGACTCTGGCATGGACACTGCTCAGCCACGTGGTAGACTATCCTAATTAAACATCGTTTGGATGGCTTCCAATCCAATTAAGAAATAATGAAGAACCTTTGGAAGGCAGGGTATTCGCCGGAACCACGGAGGACCCGTCCTTAGAGACCTCCAGTGCTGCTGCCAGTAGATTACGGCTCTTACAAAGTTTGGCACAATGGAACAGTGGGCTTGTCAAACGAACTGCCACTTGTGAAGCCGGTGGTGCCCGGGTGGACGATGGCCGAGGAAGTGACGGCGAACTCCTCGGACCGGCGTGTAAGCTGCTCAGGCTGGCCATACCATGCGCACCTGCAAATCAGGCAAGGCGACCAAGGCTGGTTACTAGCATACCAGACAAACAGCTGAGTTGGAATGACGGCAGGATCGGTTCGGTCCCTGAAAGCTCTAAGTGGCACAAAGCATCGAACACCTCGTGCGCGTGCGCGGTAGTCGAACCCAGGGAGGGGAAACCTCCCCGCTTGAACAGTGAAAATCCATAGGGGAATGATCCGGAGAGGAAAAACCAGGACAAAGAGCGGATCACGAGCTCACCTGCGTCAGGAGATTTGAAGCCAAGGGGCGAACGCGCGGCGCCGCTGTTCCTGCTCGTTGAAATCCCAGACCAACTGCTGGTGGTGGCAACTGGCAACTTTGTGCCATCAGTTGTTGCCCAGGGCCCACCCACCCACCCACCCACCCACACGGACACACCTACCCGCAGTGGGTCCCAGAGAACAGTCCCTCAACACACCAAATGGGTCCCAGAGAACAGATGTGGGCCCACAATACTCTCTCTGGAATTATCCGTAGCATCCTCTCCTCTCAATTCCGCGTGCCGGCGCTGGCGCCGGCAGCGGCAAGACGGCAATGGTGGCGAGAGGCGGAAGGAGGCGGCGGCGGCGGCGGGAGTCCACAGCGGTGCGCATCCGCAGGGGTGGCCAGGCGGGTGGGCATCCATTGCAATCGATGGCCCAGCGTCCCCATCCCAACAACCAGACGCGGGGTGACTTTTCTTACTTTGCCGCGTTGACCCGACGGTGCCGGCCGATGATTTGGTCGGTCTGGGTTCTTCCGTGCCCTCCTTCTCCTCTCCACGACTTTGACGCCGTGCTCCTCCTGATCCCTTGTTCTGCGGCCCTCTGCACGGCGCTGAGCAAGCAGGTGGTGGAGGTTTCAGTTCCACTCGTCGCCCACCTCGCCGAGGCTGCGGGGCGGGGCTGCTGGTCAGGTAATCCATTTTCGCCAGGAGCCTCTGCCTACTCGAAGGCCTGGGTAATTCATTTAGTCCATCCTCCTCGATTGCGATATCCAGATTTCGGAAATTTGTGGTCTTGAGGTATTCAGACTTCTGAATTTACATTGCAGATCATCGACCCAACTGCGGCGAGGGGAAACAGTCAGCTGCTCTGTTGCCTGATGTGCGCGCTTTGATAAGCTTCTAGTTTTTCTCCAAGTTGGCACATACCTGAAATTACCGAATTTTTTACTTTTTAGTTTTTTTTAAGTTTTTTTACAAATACGTCGTTGATATGCATTCTTAGCTAGACGGTCATCGATGCTGGCACCGAATTAACATGTCTGAATGCCGGCGTCTCTAACGTCGAGATCTTGGCCTCGACGCTGATATAACGCTGATTTGACAGGTGTTCGATAGGCCCTGATGGGACAACGCTATGGAAGCAGCGTTGTACTGATACATGGCGTCACATCTTGAAGGGTACTGATGCATGGCGTCCTCAGCACTGCAGCCCACCGCTACTTTTTTGCTTCACTGTTGAAGGGATTCCAAAAGGCTTTTATTAGCTGACAAAAATCGTGGCAGCTTTTGTTCGGAGCACAGTGCTCCTGCTCGCATCGGCTACATGGATGGATCATGGATGGCCCTACCGTTTCACCTTTGTACTCTATCCAGTCCAGTTCATTTTGCACAGAAACTATAGGGCTCGTTTAGTTTGTAAATTTTTTGACGAAATGATATGGTAGCATTTTTATTGTTATTTGATAAATAGTGTCTAATCATAGTCTAATTAGACTTAAAAGATTCGTCTCGTGAATTTCGTCTAAACTGTGTAATTAATTTTATTTTTTATTTATATTTAATACTTTGTGCATGTATCAAAGATTCGATGTAACAAGGAATCTTAGAAAATTTTGCAAAATGGGAGAGAACTAAACGATACCTATGCCATGTGGAGTGAGTGACTTGTTAACACAGCGAGCCAGCAACGAAAAGGTCACAGCTTTCAATTTCTAGCGCAGCAAATTTACTGATCAGCGTGTGTAAAAATTTCAGTAAAATTGTCGTAGAAGTTTTTAACTCTGGCCAACGTATGGTTAAAACAGTGTTGGTAGTACGCTGTTTCCAGTCCCATTGAAAGTGCTGCGGGATAGATGGAGGTAGTACTGTAGTAAACTAGTAGCTAGTATGCTGTTTGCCCTGCTCATTTGATAATAATCCAAGCAGAGGCGGAACCAGGGAGGGGCTAGCCGGGGCTGTACCCCAACACAATACAAAAAATATTAATACCCCTATAAATATTCATTTTACAACATAACAATGCATCAAATTAGCTATTTTTATGATAATCTTGTGATTTCTCTTTATAAATACTAACTACATATGTAAAAATATTAAAAAATTGTTGAGAAATACGTTTAGGTATATATTTATCACATTTAGATATGTCATCATATTTGCCGTGCCCTCTTAATAAAAAATGGTTGGTTCCGTCTCCGAATCCAAGGCATTTGACAGATATAAAAAATAGGAAGTAGTAGGAGCATATACTACTAGTCTTTTATCCTGATCCCAGAGATGACCATAAAGATAGCCACACGTTGGGACAAAGTGACAAACAAGCGAGCACCAGAGGGAACGAAAAGGCCGGCAAATTAAAGAAAGCCGTTGTTTTAGGCCTTTGGAGACCCTAAAGAAATGGTTCGTGTGTAATGGTAATGGAGACAAGGCCATAATCTCTAGGTAGAACATTTGTCACCTTTCCCTGTGCAAGATCTAGAGTGGTCCTCAGCTGGAAGCCGTCTCTTCCATTCCATCATCAAACGCCAAGGGAGAACAAGGATGCAAGATGTGAACCAACACTGTTTTAACGGCCAGAGTTAAAAACTTCTACGACAATTTTACTGAAATTTTTACACACGCTGATCAGTAAATTTGCTGCGCTAGAAATTGAAAGCTGTGACCTTTTCGTTGTTGGCTCGCTGTGTTCACAAGTCACTCACTCCACATGGCATAGTTTCTGTGCAAAATGAACTGGACTGGATAGAGTACAAAGGTGAAACGGTAGGGCCATCCATCCATCCATCCGATGCGAGCCACTGTGTCGAACAAAAGCACGATTTTTGTCGCTAATAAAAGCAGATTGTAAAAAATTTCAGCAATAGTAGCACTTTGTCTCCAAACATGGACCAAAAGCTCAAAAGCCTAAACGAGTTTTTTTTTTTGTCATTTAATGCTCCATAAAAGCCTAAAATTGATTTGGAATCCTTCAACAGTGAAGCTTGAAATCCCTTCAACAAAGTAGCGGTGGGGTGCAGTGCTGAGGACGCCATGCATCAGTACCCTTCAAGATGTGACGCTATGCATCAGTACCCGCGGCTTCCATAGCGTTGTCCCATCAGGCCCTATCGAACAGGGCCTCGAGCTCTGCACCAGCGTCTACGGCGCCGAGCCCGGCGTCGCTGCCTTGCTAAATCAGCGCCACGTCGGCGTCGAGGTGGCCCCGAAACATGTTAACTTGACGTCAACATCGATGACGTCAAGGTAAGAATCCATATTCTGAATTTTTTCTGTCAAAAGCATATTTGTGAAAAACTAAAAAAAAAGGACTAAAAAGGAAAAAATTCGGCCTGAAATCACAGGCAGGTTCAGCCAAGTGCTAGTTAATTGGCAGCTCAATTGTTGGTTCATGTAACGGTAGACAACATCCTGACAGTTCACTGAAGCTGACTATTTCTGATGGCATAGTTTGTTTGGGTGCCTGAGATATCTGAAAGTAATTGCAGAGCAACAAGCAGTTACCCATTGGCAGTTCATTGACTCTTTGCAATAAGACAGGGAGAGATGGATGGGTTCATGGCGAGTGCAGCGACGGGGGTGATGAGCTCCATTCTCACCCATCTCGGCGAGCTGCTTGGGGAGGACTACAAGATGCAGAGGGGCATGAGGCGCGAGATCGCATTCCTCAAGGATGAGCTTTTGACAAAGGAGACGCTCGATCCGCAGACAAAGGAGTGAAGGGACCAGGTGAGGGAGATGAGCTACGACATTGAGGATTGTGTTGACGATTACATGCGCCAGCTGTAGAATGAGACACAGGCACAGTGGAGTCACTGGATTTTTCTTTGGGTATGTCCAGAAAGTGAAGGATCTTGTTACACGCCATGAGATTGCAGAGCAGATTCAGGAGCTCAAGGCTCGAATTGTTGAGGCAGGCCACAGAAGGAAGAGGTACAAGATTGATGACACAGTTAATTTTGGTGGCGTCAACGTGATCCCTGTGGACCGACGCTTGCCTGCGCTCTATGCAGAATTGGGTCGCCTTGTTGGTATCTGTGTTCCCAGAGATGAGGTCATCAAGCTAGTTGATGATGGGGTGCAGGGGGTCAAGGTGGTGTCTATTGTGGGTTGTGGAGGATTAGGAAAGACTACAGTTGCGAATCAAGTTTACATAAACATTGAATCAAGTTTACATAAACATTGCTGAGAAATTTGATTGCCAAGCTTTTGTGTCCTTGTCCCTAAATCCTGATATGGTGATCATATTTCGGTCCATACTGTCTCAAGTCAAGAAGGATGAGTGTGCTAGTACCAGGTCATGTGACAAGGAACTGCTCATCAGTGAATTGAGGGATTTCCTAAAGGACAAGGGCGTACCCGGTGCAGAGAGCTCCCGCTCTGTGTGGGATCTGGGGAAGAGTGTTAGTAGCATGCCTTACCCTCGCCTGTGCAATGCGAGAAGACCACGACTCGAACCCGAGACCTTTCGATCACAGGCAAGACTCTACCGCTTGCACAGGACCTGCCTTTAGATTTCCTAAAGGACAAGAGGTATCTTAAATTTATCTACACTGGCCTGGAATACTGTTTGACCTTGTGTGTTTAAGGAAATCCTCTTTATATTTTATTTTTCGGTTAAGTAATGTTTTTATTATTTATACGTGCATTGAGGCATTGTTTGAAGTCACCACCTTTTAGAAATTACCTTTTGTTATGTCACAAACTGAATATTAATCCATACATCAAACTGTTTAGATTCTCCTGAAATCAATACTCTTCTTAACAGGAATTCAAAGATAACAAACACTAGAAATTAACTTCTCCATAACATATTACATTAGGACTCTTAAAGCTAAAGGTGAGATATGAGGCTTTTTCTCGCACTTTCCACAATATAGTGTGTATATATCAATCTACAGGTTTCAACTGAATCATAGCTCTATTTCATATTTAGGTTTTTTATTGTAATTGATGACATATGGAGTACCCAAGCATGGAAGACAATTAAATTTGCTTTGGTTGAGAATACTTGTGGCAGTAGAATAATAGTGACAACAAGAATTGGTACTATTGCCAAATCTTGTTCATCCCCATTCGATGATCTCAGTATTCGAATTAAGGATGCTAAGTGAAGATGAGTCCAAAAGGCTATTCTTTAGAAGAATTTTTGGCTTTGAGGACAAGTGCCCTCACCAGCTAAAAGAGGTTTCGGTTGAAATAATTAAGAAGTGTGGTGGTTTACCATTGGCAATCATTACTATGGCTAGTTTGGTGACTACTAAATCACATACCAAAACTGACTGGTTGAAGGTTTGTAATTCAATTGGTTCCGTGCTTGAGTAAATTTGTGATGTGGAGGAAATGAACATGATATTATCTCTGAGTTATAATCATCTTCCTCATCATTTGAAGACTTGTTTATTGTATCTAAGTATGTTTCCAGAAGATTATTTGATCAAGAGCGATTATTTGGTAAGAAAGTGGATAGCAGAAGGATTCGTCCATGCACATGGTAGTGGAAATTTGGAGGATGAAGGCGAATGCTATTTTAATGAACGTATCAGCAGAAGCTTAATACAACCGGTAGATTTCCAGTATGATGGTAGAGTATACGCATGCCAGGTTCATCATTTGATTCTTGATCTCATTACATGCAAGGCAGTTGAAGAAAATTTCATAACAGTTGTTACTAATAGAAAACAAATGTTGCTCTCACATGGCAAAGGCCACCGACTCTCACTTGAATACCAAGGTCTTGAAACTTTAAGAACAAATCCCATTGTTACTGCTCATGTTCGGTCCCTGAACATATTTAGATACTCTGAAGAAATGCTTCCTCTTTCAGGCTTTCGCTCCCTAAGAGTGCTTGATCTAGATGGCAACGAGAATTTGGAAAGCTATTATCTTTAAGATATAGGGAAGTTATATCAGTTGCGATACCTACGGATTAAGGCAAGTGATATTGCACTTCCAGAAAGGATAGGAGAGCTTCAATGTTTGGTAATACTAGAATCTTCTGAATTGTCCTAATCTAGGCAAATTGCCTGCAAGTATTGTTGAACTTCGGCATTTAAAATGGTTAATTGTTCCTCCAGTGAACTTGCCAGATGGAGTTGGGAACATGCAAGTGCTAGAGTTTCTTTCACTTATAGTTGTGGACTACACTACCTCAACAACCTTATTGCAAGAGCTGGGCAGCTTGACCAAGGTTGGATTGGCCAGGTGGGTCACCATCGCCTACAGGGAGAGAGAGGAAACCTGGAGGGTCCAGAGATTCCGGCAGCGGGGCGAGGGGGAGGGGGAGGCGGAGAGGAGACGGTGAGGGTTTTGGCCTAGAAATGACGCAGATTTATGGGGACATCGACTAGTGGAGCGGGCACTGATGAGCGTGATTTTCAGTGATTAAAATGATTTGGTTCAGGGAAAGGATGGTGGCCACGGTACACGTGGCGGCCGGCGGCGCTCGCTTTTTGTCGCCTTGAGCTTTTGTGATCTGCGCATCAGATGCTGCTACTGCGACATGTCTCATGCTGGTCCACGTGCATCCGTCATTGTCCTAAAGATCTCTGACTGTGGCACACGAGAGCCAGATAATCCGGTAGTCTGTCGGGTGTCTTCGAAGAACCCCGAATCATCCACATTTTACAACTCATACAGGATCGTCAATGGAGTTAATACAACATTACAACATTTGATACAAAAATAAGATACATCGGAGTGCGGAAGACTTATAACATTAGTTTATAAAAACATGTTTAAGTAAAACTTAACTTATGTTCCAAAAGGTGAATAAATCAGCGGAAGCAATTTAGATGAAGCACCTAAGGTAGAAGAGACAATCGGATCATGTCGAGCCCACTGACATGACCTCGATTAGCAGCATAAGACAGAACCTGCAACAGGGGTTAACAAACCCTGAGTACTCAAATGTATTCCACAAGACTTATTGTTGGTATTTATTAACGCGGATAGAATATGAAGGATTTCTCAAGCGCACAGAATACCATCGTAGCATTTTACCGGGAGTATTCCTGGTATCGTTATTTATATTTTACCACAGGGAAACAATGGAGTAAAGATTTATTGAGTAATGGCAAAAGAGTAACCATTAATATACCAACATAGCTAGAGCAGGGGATAAATATGATGATAGGAGTTAAGCATAATGACACTCAGGGGATAGGTCACTAAGGTAATGTAAACTAGTTAACTCGGGTAAGGTGGATTCCTATGTCATTCTTATTACATGGTTAAAGTATATATGTACCCAACTTAGCTAAGACGAACTCTACTCTTGTGCATTTCGGGACGCCACTTAGACGGTAGAGCACCCACAATGGATAACTCTATCGACGTGACTACGGTCCTATAATTTAAGAACACGCTCAATTCGGAGTGGACTACAAAGGATAGACAGGGCTGTCACCTTCCGCTGCTACCACCCAACCAGAGAATAGGATGCACTCATAGGCAGAGCATCGTATAAGCACCATGCTTACACAAGGCTCAGCTACTTAGCCCAGTCGATAAACTATAGCAAGCTAAGCGCTCTATGAACCCGCACACAAAAGTATTGATAAACTTAACTAAGCAAGATATATATATTCAAAGTAAGCATAGCCATATAGATAAGAATATGATAAATTGAGAACAAGTCTTACAAGATGAAGAAGTGAAAATACAAGGCTTTGCCAAGCCTCTAAGACTAGATCTGGAACTTGATCCTCGCTCCCGAATTACTAATCTACTACATTGGAGAGCCTAGAACTAATCCTCCTAGTGTACCCTGATCTCTAAATGAGAGATATGAATTAGAGTTTAGGGATGCCTCTGCCTCAGGAGGTATAGGGCTGCTTATATAGGCCGGTGGGATGAACCGGAGCCCTCGGATCAAACCGACTTCAATCAAGGGTGGAGATGCAAACCCTAAGGCTGTGGAGAACCGACATGCGAAGGTGGTGACTGACAGGGGGACCCACAGGTCGGCCGACCTAGGGTGGGGTCGGTCGACCTGCCCCTATGGCAGGTGGGCCCCACCTTCGGTGGCACGCCTTCTTGTGTCTTCTAGATTCTTCTCAACTTGGTTTTGATACGGAATTAATATCTCTTGATCCTGGGCTTCACATATAGCAAATAATATATCTGTTTCGACCATCTCGGTGAGCTCTTCGCAATGGTACACTCCAATTCATCATTTGAGATACTGTTATTCGGTGAAAAATTAAATGTCCTGCAAAACAAGTGAGAGCACCAAAACTCGTGGAACTCATTAGTTTAAACTCTTATACCTATGTTTGGTGATGTAGTTAAGCATATATGCAGGTAATGTTGACTGTTTATAATTGACGTTAGTGACAGTCAACAAGCTCCCCCACACTTAACCTTTGCTAGTCCCTTAGCAAAGCTAAACTTAGCAATGGATCGGGAGTTGATACAATGTTTTCACGCCTCAAAAGTACACATGCGTTCAATCAAAAATTCTCCTCCAGATTAGAATAAACTGATCTGACTTTCAAACTTATCCATATTATCTTTAACCATGGGGCTTCTTAGCCTTCACTTGGGTCTTGAGCAATTGAAAGACAGAACAGTCAAGTCAAGCACTATGTCTCAAGTTCTTTGTTCGACCATTGTTTTGGAGTTTTTGTAAGTTTTCAAAATAAAACTCAGAGATTCCATTGTATGACACTCTCAAGTCTCTTAATATATGTTATTTGTGGATCATCACCAAGGCAATGAAGATGTTATGCCTTTTTTCTCTTCCTACTACTAAGTCTTATGTGGAGTTCATAGGTAGGGAGAAAGCTAGAGCATACTTGCAATGCATATATTGTAAAGTCAAACAATGCATCCAAAGAGAGTTAAGTCATAAAGTCAAATCAAGATGTGCATATGTGTAGATATATATGTGGTGGCTAACCTAATTCTACTTTGCTCCTTGAAAATATATCTCTCTTTTGAAATTTGAAAACATTTGTTAGAGAGCAAGGGCTATCTTATTCATCTCTCTTTTTTTTAAGCGGGCATCCGAGTGCCCATTGTTTTAGATATCTCGGACACTTATCCATTTTTTAACTTTTTTTTTTCTTTTTTTATGAATAACTTTTGCATAGCCCCATGTCTCTTTCTGCAACAAAACTTTGAGAGAAATATCAACAAGAACTTGGAGCATTTATTTGGTGGATGAAAAACCTAACAAACATGTTTTTTGGTGTTTACTCCCAATGTAGGAGTAAAACATTTTTGGGTGGATCTGGATGGAATGGTATATTTTGCACCTACCCCCAGTGTAGGAGTAGTGCATATGTGGATGGTGTGTATGTGATCTTGATTTTAAGAGCACGACAAACCTCTCATAAGGGTCAACAAAGCTTTACAAAACTCAATGCAAAAGCAAGCAGTATATATGAGTGAAAGTTTTCCTATTCTAAACATCAGATATGGCTTTGGTAGGAATTCAAGTTTTGTCATACAAGAGCTCATCATGAAAGATTTTATGTTTTTCAAAAGATAAATCTCTGGAACTCTAGTATCTCTAGGAACAAGATAAATAGCAGCTCCGACCATCTCATATCATATCCATCAATTATCTAGACCTAGACCAGGCATATGATACCCATGAGTTTGAAGTTCTGAATAAATTCTTATTTCAAATCAGTCACATCCAAAACTCGGGAGAATTCAAGGCTGAAAACTAGGTACTTGAAAGGAATTACGACATAGCAACTATTTATTATTTCCAATGCAAGAGTTTATCCTAGGCTCCATTATTTTATTTAGCTCCTAAAAATAGAAAACTAAACACACTTTTTTATTTTGTTTTCAAAGTTTTAAGATCACACCTTACTAATATATATAACTAGCTAAGATAAATTTTTATTTTATTTTAGTTTGTTATTCATTTTTTTATTTCTTTTAACTAATGGAAAGAAAACTCAAAATAGTAAAACTGTAAAGGGGAAAAATACTTAGCTAGATACACGGGGGATGCTCCTCCCCCAAGCTAGATGTTGTCGTGGTCTGTTGAATGTTGAGTGATCCTTCTTAGAGCATGGTTGTCGGCGATGAGTCCTTATCATCTACGAATAGAGTGAGATGTCTTGGTTCGCTCTCGAGGATGAGGATTCTTGTGGTGGTGCCTCTATTAGTGGCGCTTCCAATGGTGGTGCCACCTTTTTCTGCCAAACCCGTCTTGGTTTTGAATTCGATTTTGGTTTGATAGGCCCTTCCTTCTTAACTTGTTCCTCCTCTGGTTCAGAACTTTCACTTGTAGAATTTGGGGGATCCGCTCCCCCACACTTGCTCGAAGTGTGTTTTGCTCATAATGACAAGGTAGAAATCAAGTGCATGGGCTCTGTTGGTGGGAAAACACCAACAGAACCAAAACTTTATATTTTTTCTTTTCTAGCCCTAGGCACATGGAATCGTGATAAGGTTGATGTTATGTGTATTGTTCTTTCTTCCTACATGGGTGATAGGATCAGAAGGATGAGCATGAATGTAGCATTTTGACTATGACAAAAAGAAATGGAGTTTCTTAACCTGTTGAAGGATTGTCCATCTTTATATAATGTATCAAACTTTTCATGATTATGACTATCATCTTCCAAAGATAGGATATGCAACATTTTAGCTCATTTGGTTAAGACCGAGATCAAGGAGGTGGTGCTATGAACATACTCAAGAAACAAGACATGTTGAGTTAATCAGTTTGGACCAAGCAAAGTTGTAAAACATGTTTGTGTCTTCATGTATGTGCATACCAGGATCAAGAAGAAAACGATGACCACTTACCTTAAGATGTTACCTTCATCATTGGAGCATGATGACACCATGTGATGAAAGGTAGACGAGTTGTGGTGGTCTTCTCTTCCTACTTGAACCTTTTCTTACTTGAGCTATTCATGAGC